ATATTCTGGCTGCCTCACTTGTAATAATCCAAACTAGCATGTTCCACTTGGTGTATTAGTTCCCTGGAAAAGAGCAAATTATTTAATGTGATCCTAAAACTAAGACATATCCTAGCATATAACACAGAGGCTGATCCTGGTATTTTTTTTAAAGATAAAAGGGTTTGAAAGTAAAAGTAGGGATTTGAAAAGGTATTTGTACACTCAAGATCACAGCACTGTTCACAATGGCCAAAGGATGGAGGGAGCTCAAGTGACCATAGAGGGATGAGTGGGTAACAAAATGTGGAATATAACTATAATGGAATTGTTCAGCCTTCTGAAGGAAGTAAATTCTGACACATGCTACAGTATGGGTGAACCTCGAGGACATTATGCTCAGTGCAAGAAGCCAGTCACAAAGGACAAATATGTGATCCCACTAATATGAGGAGCTTAGAATAGACCAAATCAGAGAGAGAAAGTAGAATGGGGGTTATGGGAGACTATGGGGAAGGGAGAATGGAAAGTTGGTGTTTAGTGGGTGCAGAGTTTCAGTTTGGGAAGATGAAAAAATTCTGGAAATGATGGTGGTGATAGCTGTGCAACATGTGAATATGCTTACTGCCCCTGACCTGCACACTCGCAGGTGGGTAAAATGATAAAGTTCATGTTACGTATATTTCACCACCATAACACAAGACCAAAGATAAGAGTGTGGAGCCCTTGTCCCTGCTTTCTGGCCCTGTGGCCTCTGCTTCCGCTGATTCTTCCTCCCCTCCTTGTGGTGCCCCCCCATCCCTCACCTGAGGCTCTAGCGGCTCCCTCCTCTCTTGTGCCCCAGCCCTCAGGCCTAGACCAGGGCCTGAGGCAGCTGGGCCCAGGCCCAGGAAGCTCTGCCAGTGGAGCATCAGCAGTTAAGGGGCGAGACCCTACCAGGGGGCAGCATGAGCAAGAAGGGGGTTGGAAAGCAAAAAGTGGCTGGATGGGAGTCCGGCACACAGCAGGGCAACTTTGTGTCCTAATGCCACTGTGCCTCCATGCAGGCGCTGTGTGCTCGCTCTGAAGTGAGCTGGGACCAGCAGAGTAGACAGGTTGCATCTATCTGCAGGGCAGCAGTAGCAATGCAGCATGCCTCTGCCTCCCTGACCCCGGTGCCCCTCTTGGCTGCTGGTACACCAGACTGAGCATAGGGAGCTCTGCTGTGGGGCTGGTGGGAGCCAGTGGAGCGAGGCGAAGTGGCTTCATGCCCTCACCATCTCAGTTGGATGATGTCCAAATCTGGGTGAAGTTTGTCATCTGGTCTAGGGTCTTGGGTCAGGGCCAGGAGGGCAGAGGGCTGTGTGTCTGCCAGACAGTGCAATGTCTTTACCAAAGCCCCAGGGGCCCCGCTTGCTGCACAGTGGGGCCAGCCAGATAGCTGGCTGTCCGCATGCATCCACCCCACTGACCTGAGGCTCAGAAAGGACATGGCTGAGCCCTGCAGGATCTGGAGCCCCACAGCCCTGAATGTGCACACATACATGCACACGCAGGCATGCACACACATATCTGTGTGTGTCCCATCCCTGGCTGACGTGTCACACCTATCACTCTCACCTGGGGACTTTGAATGGGTTTCCTTGTCTGTGTTGGGTGAAGAGACTGGGTGGGATCAATGTCCAATCAGGGGACTTTTCCATGCTGTGATCTCAGGCAGGGGGTTATTTTCTCTGGAAACTACCTAGTAGTTTAGTACCCTCGGAATTTATCCAGTCCTCTTTCAGGTCAGCCCAGTTCTCCATTCTCAAAAACATCAGAACAAAGGTTTTAAGGCTGCTAAGTGGCGTGTCAGGAGCCACATGGAAGAAAGGCTGCGGAGCACCAACTCCAAGGGGGATGCTTACACTAGACTTGATTTTTGCTCATGAACGTCTCCAAACACCCCAAAACTCCACTACAATTTTTACCAATTGCTTCCTGCATGCATAGCTCTTTCTTCTTCCACAAGGTATAAAATATCTGTGGTTGGGGTCATGTTCTCCCTGTTCCTATAGCCCCAACAGGAAGCCCAGCACATTGCTGGCTCTGTGGCTAGGTGTGGTGGAAACTGGGATCTTTATATGGCTAGATACTGGAATCACGCCGAAGCCCCACCCTGTGGGCTAGTCTAATTGGGTGAGCATGGTGTTTACACATTATTTTTTAAAAGTTCTCTGGATGATGCCTGTATGTCACTGAATTAGAAAACCAGAGGTCTGTGTCATGGTTCAGGCTAAGTAATCAGTTTTTCATGGGCATTCTTTTTTTCCTCATATGATTATCCAGCATATCAGCCAGGGATCTCAATTTATTGAAACCCAAAATAGAAAACCTGATTTAAATAGCCAGGAGGCCAAGTTCTTGCTTTACTAGAGAACACCAGTGGAAGAAGTGCTTAGTGACCAGATTGTGCTGCAGAGGGCTTCCTGGTGATGTGTCATGTCTCTTATCTGCCTACAAGGCCTTCCAGTTCTTTCCATATACCCTCATTGGTCCCTGTACTGTTTGGGGGGGATCATGGAAACAAGGACTGGTTTAATCTGTGGTCCACTCACAGAGCATCCCAGGATGGGCTTTTTATGCAGGTTGCTTAGCTCATCCACCTACATAGATGCTATAGCATCCAGAGTGAATGTGTCTGACTGTGGCCTCATTCTGGGGATGCACACTGTGGGAACCTCTGGCTCCTGTTTACTGCCACAGTACATGTATGATACCTAACTTTGAGTCATAAATAGCTGAGTATGGTTTACTGCTGGCAAGGCTTATCATTTTAGGCAAAGTATGCAAATTACACCATGTCCTCAGGGTCCCAGAGGTCCTGATGTGATATGGGGGCAAGCAGTCTTGTTCTTGGTTGCATATGGGAAGGGCTGAGCTAATGTGAGTGACCTTCACACAGAGGCACTCGGAATCTCAGAGACACCACATGGGAACATCTCAGTTACGGAGTCCTTTGCAAGAAAGCTCCCATTAGTATCATACGATATGTCAACACATTTTAACACGTTGCTAGAAGTGTCACAGTTACTCCTGTCCAGGCACAGCCTTGCTCTGACCCACAGCTCCAAAGTGTCTTAAAAGTGAAAAACCTTGCTCCCTTTGTGCTTTCCTGCTTCCTTGTACTGCCAGGAGTATTTTCATGGACAGGCAGGTCTTCTGTTGTCAACAAGTGAACAGTCAAATAACTGTCATTATATTTTATCTTCAACATTAAATTTTGCAATATTAGAGATGTCTTGATTCATTGTATATGAACTTTGGTTAAATGTGTGCAACTTCCAAATCTGAGGAAGATCCTTTTGAGGTAAAAATGCAGAATTATTACCAATTTATGTACCTCATGAGCTTAAAAGCTTTTGAATTTTAATTTTTGGTTTGAAATAATTCCAGACTTATAGGAAAATAGCAAAAAAAAAAAAAAATGCAAAGCATTCCAGGGTAGCTTTCACCCAGATTTTGCAAATGTTAATATTTTATCCTCTGCTTTGTCATTCTCCTGCTCTCTCCTTCCCTTTTCCCCTCACCCCTCTGCCTATCTGTCTGTCTACCTGCTTATCCATCCATCCATCCGTCCATCCATCCATCCATCCATCCTTCCATCTATCCATCCATCCGTCCATCTACTCACCCTCCCTCCTCCAGGTACCTTGTCTAAGTGGAATCATAGCATATTTATTATCTTTTTGGTGACTGGCTTATTTCACCTAGCGTAATGTCATTGAGGTTCATCCTTATTGTAGCTTGTGACAGCATGTCCTTTAAGGTTGAATAATACTGCACTGTATGTATAGACTACATTTTGTCTACTCATCTGTGGATGGACATTGAGTTGCTTCCACCTCGGCTACTATGAATAATGCTGTTATGAACATGGGTGTGCAAATATCTCCCCAGGAACCAGTTCTTTATTTCTTAGAATGTCCCTCAAGTTGGGTTGTTTGTTACTTCTTTGGGTTAGTTTCAGCTTCTGCATTTTTGGCAGGAGTACCTAAGAAGTAGTGAAGGGTCTTAAAGGAAGATCGGAGTCGCGTAGCTCTTAAGGTTGCTATTGCAAAAATATTCAAAGATTGTTTTTATTGATTAAGAAGTTAGAAATTGAAAGAGAACAATTTCTACTTGGGATGTCCTTCCCTTTTCCCCTCACCCCTCTGCCTATCTGTCTGTCTACCTGCTTATCCATCCATCCATCCATCCTTCCATCCATCCTTCCATCTATCCATCCATTTGGTGAATCCTTGAGGTTTCAGTAATCACTGGCTAGGAAATGCTAGTCTAGATGTCCCAGGTCTTTCTTGTCTGGAGTCTTGAGCTAGAGTCCTTGATTTGGTTGGGAGATGCCATGACGTCTCCACCTACCCCAGGGTATGAATGGAGAGAATTAGTGGCACAGTTCACACTGTGATGCCAGCAGGGATGACTCAAGAGCTGTTGTATTCCAAGGGGCTTAGCAAAGGAATGTCTCACCCATCTATGGCTCTGAGCCCCTTGACTGCCTAACTTGAGCAATGTACGACTAAAGGCTAGGTCAGTAAGTAGCTTTATACCCAGATTCACTTAATGTTGCAGTTCTGGACTTAGAGCCTTCACAAGGGAGATTATCCCATGCTTGCATGCAGAGAAGTGTCCTGCCCAGAGTCACTGAGCTGGTGAGCTGTGACTGGGGCTCAGGCCCCTGCAGAATCAGAGGCTTGCCCATGTGCAGGGCTAGCCAGAGGCCATTAGATTGGTGTCTGCACTTGTGGGAACCCCTCTATAAAGTTTTTGACTGATGGGTATCTGGCTGCTGCTGGGAATCCTAATGGGCAGGGCCCTGCTATCTTTCTGCCCCCCTGTTGTCCATTGTGGCATGTTGGAGCTGTGTTGTCCAGCTCGTGGTCTCGTTTTTGCCCATGGTAACAGCACAGTGCAAGTCATCAGCTCCTATGTTTGTACATGGCTGTCATTTCATGTCATTATTTGGTCCATCTCACATCTGTTTCTTTTGCTATTCCTTCCAGAGCATGGCTTCCACATGGCTGCAACATCCCAGTAGCCTTTCTCTGGAGGTATGTGAGTTTGATGTTCTCCTTAGAAGGCATCCTCCAGAACAACTCAGTACTGCAGCATGGTCTCACCACAGGTGACTACAGACCACCTATTCTCTAATTTGAACACTACGCTGTGGGTAGACTTGCCAACATCTAGTCAGCATTGTTTCCCAAAACCTGAATTAAAAACTGTTTTTGGCTGCCTTTGGCTCTGTTTTTAAAATGCCTTCCACTGGGAGAAGGAAGAAGTGTGAGGGAGAACAGAAAGGCAGAGGGTGCCGGCTCTGATGTGATCCCGGCGGCTCGTGCCCCATGCCACATGAACCGGCCTTGCAGCGCAATGCCCACTCCCCCTTCCCGCACATGTCAGCATCCTGCCTTCCCAGAGAAGAGTGCATTCCTGCAGCAAGTGGTCTGCTTGGCAGGTTCTGTTCTGACCAAAGTCCTGGGTCAGGAGCTGCAGTTGTGTCGGCTCTGGCTCTCACTTTTGTGAGTGCTGGGCAAGCAGTGGATCTGGCAGGTGGAGACAGAGACGTCAGAGGGCAGTCCAGGCTAGAGGAAGCCTGTTCAGACACCTCAGCCACCCACCTTGGGTGGGCCCAGGTGATTCCGAGTGCTAATCTCCATATATTCGTGAGTACTTCTCAGTGTTTCCCAGAGCGCTTTTATTCACATCTGATTTGATCTTCATAACCACCTCTTGGGGCAGCCACGCCACTGTTATCCTCATTTGACAGAGGAACCAGCTGATGATGAGCTGAGTGCTGTCCATCCACCTCCGAGTCCTGTGGGTCTTGGAACAGTTGTGTAGGCTACTTCTAGCCACAAAGTGAGCCATCCTGAGTCATTGCAAATGTAATCATTTTCATCTAGCAAACATAAATTGAACACCTGTGTGCCTGACACCATGGTAGGCTCTGGCGATACAAAGATGGACAGCTGTCCTTATTGTAAGCTGTGTATAGTCTAGTAATCACTGCCCAGTTTCTTTTTATATTTCATTGAGAATAATTAGAATCACTGGAGAATTGGAAGAGATGCTTAGCAAATATCTAGATGGCTCGTCAGAAGGTAAAGGAACCGAATCCAGAGAGAGAAGGCCCCTGGCACAGACAGGCTCAGAAGCAGAGCTCAGGCTACTGGCTCCAAGCCTACAGCTCCTACCCCACACAGAACTGTCTGTTCTGTGGCTCCTTCTTCCACTGGATAAGCTTTGGAGATGAGAAGATTCTGGTTCTCAGTAGCTGAGAATCTAAACCTAGATTACCCATGGGTTCCCTAGATTTGCTTTTCATCATAGTGATTTTGAGTGCTTGGCTCATTTTGGTATTTGCATACATCTAATGGTGCAACTCAGCATTAACTTCTCCCTGGAACTCGATTCTTACAGCATGACGTGAGTTCACTCTTTAGTGAGTCGGCTTTCCTGTGTGCTATATGAGAACTGTGTTTATGCTGTTTTACAGACTAGGAGTGAGTTTCTTAGCCTGAAGTTTGCATGTTTTAATTGAAACATGATAGCTGCTCACAGGTATTTGAGGGCAAGCATCTGTTGCAAGCTTATTGTGTACCCATGGCAGAGAGAACCAACAGGGAAAGTTACAGGAAGATAAATTTGGCTCGGTGTAAGAAATGTTTGTCTGGCCAACAGCATTGTCTCATAATGGAACAAACAGCCTGAAGTCACAAGCCTGAAGGCTGCTAGCTCAGGTCACAGAGGGGTTTCTAGATTCACTAGGGGAGTGGCCTTAGGGGACATCCAGGGGCCCAAGGACTTGGTTTGGAAGCAGTGAGGGGAGCTAGTTCACTGTTGGAAAACTTCACAGTTGCTGTTCTCATTGAGATGTTCCAGTAGCAGAAGGAGATTCCCTGGTGAGAGCAAGTGGAGCACTTTGGAGCTTGGAACCTTCTCTGGCCCCACCTTAGCCCCTCAGCCACCTCTAAACTACAGGCCTGAAAAATATCATTTAGCTGGGTGGCTGGAAATGGGGGCTCTGTGAAGTAGGGGGGAGTGTGGGGAGAGCAGCTGTTCAGAAATGTGACCATTGGTTTTATGTGTCACCTGATGGGGCTGAGGGACACCCAGAGGGCTGGTAAACATTATTCTGGGTGTGTCTGTGAGAGTGTTTCCAGGAGAAGTGGGCATTAGATTTGGTGTACTGAGTGGAGCAGACGGCACTCCCCAATGCAGTGGGCATTGTCTTTCCCTTTTGAAGGCCTGAAGAAAACGAAAGGTAGAGGAGGGCAGATTGGCTCTCTTGAGCTGAGACATCCATCTTCTCCTGATCCTGGACACCCATGCTCCCAGTTCTCAAGCCTTTAGATTCAGATCAGGACTTAAATCAGCAGCCCTGAGTCTCAGGCCTTTAGACTCAGACTGAATTACAGTGGCCTTCCAGGTTATGCAGTCTGCAGACAGCAGATAGTGGGACTTCTCAGCCTCCATGACCATATAATCCAACGCCTGTTAAATTGTCTCCCCTTACACATATATATTGTCAACCTTGAAAATAAAAAACAGCCAGTTAGTTTACCAGCAAAATGAGTTTATTTGGGAGTAGCTGAGGAATTGCAATTTGGGACATGCAAACTATAGAAAACCACAGGCAAGTCCAGAGAACAAACAGAGGCGCTTTTTTAATAGAGAAAAGGGGGAAATTGGGAGGGGCTCTTTTGAACACAAGTCCAGTCCATTGGTGGAAACTGGAAGTTTGAAGTGTAGCAGCTTCACATTGGCTGGGCTGTTGCTGGGCAGGGAGAAGGTCTGCCTCCTGCTGGGAAGAGAAGTAAGCCTCTTCTCTTCTGCTAGGGAATGCGCAGTAAGCTGGGACAGGTGTGTGCATAGAGAGACAGTCCCCTCTAGGACTTCCTGGCTCAGTGTCAAATGAGGTTTCCCTTTATTAATTTTCACAATATATTTATTTATTTGGAGAACCTCCCAAATATGTAATTGATTTCACTGAGTTGGATGCATGGGAAAGGAGGAAGAATCAGGAAAACCCTCTTTTCTAGCTTAGATCACTACCTGGTTTGGACTTGTGGATTCTGTAAAAAGCTGAAGGCTCATTTTGCACAGTAGCTCTTGGCTATTGAGCATACTATCTATGTGCCAGGTACTCTGCTATGCACCTTTCATATGAAAACCCTATTTTATAGGTAGGTATTATACCCATTTTAAAGTTAAACAAATCTGCTATAGTATAGGGGGTCAGACTCGCTTGATGTGAAATGATTTGTTCTCCTCTCCCATCCCCTCATGTCACTGATGCCAGGGGGCCTTCATTGAGGAATCTGGCAGTCACAGATGCCACATCAAGGCTGTGAAGCCAGAGGTGTGGGTTGACCAGGTCTTTTGCAGTTATCTCAAGTCTCTTGGAATTGTTTTTACTATGCTATCATCCTCTTCTCCTTAGTCTAGTTAACTACCCTATTGTACCCTTAACAGGTTTAATATATTCATTTTTCAGGTAGCTTTTGGTCTCTCCTCATCTGCCTTTTCTTCTTTTAGGTGAAACTGACATACATAAGATTAACCATTTTAAAATGCACACAGTTCAGTGGCATTTAGTACATTCACAATCTTGTGCAACCACACCTCTATCCACCTCCAAAAAGAAACCCCATCTGCTCTAAGCACTCCTTTCCTATTCTTCCCTGCCCTTGCTCCCTCGTAATGGCTCATTTGCTTTCTGTCTCTGGATTTACCAACTCTGGAAGTTTCATATCAGTTGAATCGTATAACACATGCCCTTTGTGTCTGGTTTCTTTCACTTAGCATAATTGCCAAAGTTTGTTCCAGCTGCCATGACAAAGTACCACAGACTTGGTGGCTTCAACAACAGAAATTTATTTTCTTACAATTCTGGAGATGAGAAGTCTAAGATGGGGATTGGTTTTTCCTGCAGCCTCTCTCCTTGGCTTGCAGGTGGCCGCCTCCTTGCTGTGTCCTCACATGGTCTTTCCTCAATGCACACACATCCCTGGTGTCTCTTTGTGTATCTAAATTTCCTCTTCTTACACAGACACGAGTCAGAACTGGATTAGGGCCCACTCTAATGACCTTGTTTAACTTAATTCTTTAAAGACCATTTGTCCAAATACAGTCACATTCTGAGGTACCAGGGTTAGGGCTGCAACATAGGAGTTTTGGGGAACACAACTCAGCCCATAACAGTAATGTTTTTAGGGCTCATCCATGCTGCAGCATGTATCAGCACTTCATTCCTTTTAATGGCTGAATAATACTCCACTGTATGGATAGAGCACATTTTGTTTACCCTATTAATCTGTTGATGGCCACTTGGACTTTTGGCTACTATGATTAATGCTTTTACACCCACTACCCCTTTACAGAAAGTGTTTACTGTCACTGGGGGATTTTTGGGAGAGGAGGGCCAGTTAGGATGCATACACTGACAGCAATGGTCAGTGGCTGGGTGCAGATTCAAAGCTCAGCCTTCTGTATCACGTAGTGTGAACACCAGTGCCCCTCCTCAAGCTGGTACGGGTATTTAGCAAAAAACTTGTGAGCTTGCCACGTGGCAGTGAAGTGCTGCTGGGCTGTTTGAGTCTCTGGCAGGCTTCGTCAGTGTCCAGTTAATTGTACACTGTCCTTGGCATCTGTCGCCTTCGCTAACCACTGTGACGGATGGCTGAGTGATGGTTTTACTACTGATGAGGAAACAGCCTGAATTATCAAAAGCAGTAATGCCAGGAGTTGTTTGATTTATCCTCTTTGAACAGATCTATGTGTAATTTATCTAGGGATGCACTCTGAAAATCTCTCACCAACTGAAAGTCATGTCCTTTTCTTAAGGCAAAAAGGAGTTTTCTCCTGTTCCACCTGTGATTTGGGAGAAGGTATCACAAGGGTCATAGAAGACCCTTAGACAGGAGACATCAGGGTGGTTTAGTGGCAGCTGTAGTTCCTCCCTGCTCTATAATGAGTCTACCCAGAGCTGTTGTATTAGTTTATGTGAGTCTTACTACACTTCTGGATTTTTTAATATTTCTTTCTTTTGTGACAGTGTCTATAAGATGCTGTCATTGGGAAACTTCTTTGGCAAGAAACAAAGCCACAAGTGTCCTAAGGCATATTTCCAGGCTTGCAATGAAAAGAATAGGATTCTGAGGTGTCAGAGAGAAAACTGGCCGGCCCCCAGCTATGCCTCCTCGGGTGGCCAGCCCCATCTGTGTGGGT